AGAAAATTTGGAGCACAATTGAGTTACATGTTGTTACAGTACAGGTTCTCCTATGTCCTGAGACAGACTTGGCTCTAGTGAGCAGTACATAGAGTCAGTACCTGAAACATCAGAGCAGTGTTTGCAGAAGAAAAGTTCAGACTTTTGATCATGTGACTTGCAGGATCATACTTTGACATGAATTCTTCATTTATGACTGTTTTGTCTGTTCTTGGTCACCTATTAACAACAGCACAGCCTTGCCCTGGTTAGCAGTGGTTTTAATTAGAAAGTCAGTCCTCACATTGTCAACGTTTGACACCAGAATGGAGCCCTACTCGGGAGTGGTATCAGCCGATACACATGCTCCTGGGTTCATGTGCTCCAGTCCATCCGGGTCCCTGGCAATCCTAGTTCTGAAGTGATCAGAAGAAGACTGAAGATGAGGAGCAGCAGGGTCTGAAAGTCCCTGGGCAGCCGACGTTCTTCCAGAGACATCAGCATCAAAAGGCAATTTTACCATCAGCTGCTGAAAGGGTTGCTTTTCCTTTTTCATTCTCTTCCTCCGAAGCCGCTGCCTCTGCCCCTGCCACTGAGACTCGTGCTGGAGTCCGCACCGGGCTCATCCTCTGGCTTCTGGCTGCTCAGGGTTCAGGGTGTGGGCAGCTCCAGAGAAACACCTCATATCTGTTTCAAATATAAGCTGCATCCACCCGAGGTTGCGCATGATCTTATCCCACTACAGCCTCAAGTCAAATTCCAAACAGTCATCATCGACAGTAGCCAAATCAGATTGAGGTGAGACTCTGGGTGTACCCCAACCAGCAGGGCTCCCAGGCACAATGCTCTCCACCTACAGGCCAGTGAAGTTAAAGGACAAGCCGACTGTTCCCAACACAAAAGGGTGAGACAGGCACAGGAAGACAGCACTGGACAGCACAGAGAAGGGGAAGGTGAAATGAACTCATTGGTCCAAAGTGCTTTCAAAATCCAGCTGAGTAAACTCCATTAGGTTTCAAGGCCCAGGAATGAGTCTTGGCTCCTGAAGTTGCTCTTTAATCTAACTGGTTTCTTAAAGGCAGCAGGATCTGCAGGGAAATAGCTTTCTGCTGCTTCTTGCTAGCAGGAAAGGCAAAGCCCAACAGCCTTTGGTACTGCACTGTCTTTGTCCCTGAGTCCGTGCTCTGTGGGTATAAAGTTCTTAAGGATTTCTGGGTCTCCTGTGGGTGTCAGGTGCATTCATTGCCACAATAAATCTTGTCATATATCCTGCTGGTTTGGTTTCTCTGGAAAACTTGGGCTAATATACTTCTCCATCTCTTCCATTCCCACTCATCTCTTAGTAAGCATCTGGCCTTCCACCCAGCCTCCTTCCTTTTCATTTTTCTACTGATTCTTCTTCCATCTTCTTCACCCTTCCTCCCTTTGTCCCTATCAAATCTGTTACAGCTCTCACCTACTGGGTAGAGAGAGCACATTTAAAAAAAATATTCTAAACCTCACAGAAGATGTGTGACTTTCATTTTCATCAACTCATTTTGAAAAATGGTGCTTATAGATGTCCCCTTAGAGCCTCATGCACTCACAGGTGCTTTTCCGAGGTGGCTGGCTCTTGGTGTGTGTTACTTGATTAGTCCACTAATTAGTTTAGCATAGTTCTAGGTGTAGATTAGCACAGTGCTGCTGCTGCCGCCGCTGCCACTAGCTCCTGCCTGCTCTGCCATGGGCTGCTTCCACCCTGTGTCGCTCCTCTGCTCTGCCGCCCTGCCTTGCAGCCAGCCAACTGTAGACTGAGATCCCTATAACCTGTAAGCTAAAATAAGCTTTCTCCCCTTAACTTTAGGTGTCGGGTATTTTGTTTCAAAAACAAGAAAGGTAACTAAGACAATCTTTTTTTTTTTTCTTCTTTTGCCCATCCACCCAGACTCTTCTTACACACATCCTCTCTTCTCTGCTACCCTGTCCTCCCTACCAATCCCCCTTTTGCTCTCAAACATTGTGAGAAGTAGGGCAACACGTGTGACCTGGGCCTTGGGAGGCTGTGTAGGTGCAGTCTCTCCCTTGAGACTGCCGCTCATCACTGACTGTCCTTGCCCAAGGTCGGAAAGACCTAGATTCCCATTCCTCATCCGTCAGTCACTAGCAGTGTATTCTGCCACGTTATCTGGCTCCCACAAGACTTATTTTTTCAAAATGAGTTGATGAAAATAAAAGTCACACATCTTCTGTGAGGTTTAGAATATTTTTTAAAAATGTTCTCTCTCTACCGAGTAGGAATGCGTGTGATTAATGGTGAAAAGCATGCTTTTTTTCCTCCTGAATTTTATCTTTTTTCCTCCCCAAATTCTTATGGTATACAGAAAATAAGTTTGACATTTAAAAAAATTAAGATTATTATTATTATTGTTGTTGTTAATTTTGTCTGAGACAGGGTTTCACTACATAGTTCAGGCTGGTCTCAAATTCCTGAGGATTCTCTGTCCTCAACCTTCTGAGGGCTAGGATTACAGACATGTGTCATGATGCTTGGATGATTAAAAAATTCATCTCTTAAAGAGAAAAGCTGAGCAACACAAAAAAATAGGATTATGTAGTAGACACTTCCAGATCCTCATCTCAGTCCAAGAAGCCAATATTTATAATCCCAAAGTTACGTTATTGGAATCCCATCAAGTTGGTTCCAGTCTACCACTTTCAATGCAACTCACAGCAAAAATAAAGACACTAAATTATATTTTCAATCACTGGGGAGTCAAGGGGCTCGAAGTCCAGCCACAAAGATGGCTTTCTGGAACCAAGAGAGCGACCCAGGGCCTCACCCGGTTTTATTCAGTGGGGGAGTGGCTTGAGGAGGAGTAACTGAGAATTGTGGGAAGTAGGTGACCATTGTGAGCTGAGCTAGGTGGGTGGCCTACTTTTACCTCCGCCATATGCAGAGAGAGCAATCTGTATTGTATAATATCTAATGTTTTGGGGGGTCTGGTGCTTCAGCTCTGATGTAGTCTTTTAAGCCCCAGGAAGTCACAGCCTCTGTCTCGAGGCTTGATCCCAGCTGGCAGCATGGAGCATTGGCTCTTCGTCCTGTTTCAACCCAGCTCACATTAAAGAGCAACAGGTGTAGGTTACCAGGGAAACATGCACACCACCTTCAAAGACTATCACCAGCACCACAGGTAGACCAATACACATGGCTTAAGGCCAATTGAAGGCTAAACAGAAGTCCTAGCCAGCTCTGTACAGAACAATATGAGGAAATAGGGTCAGGCTCAGTCAAAATGGAGACAGTCGCTCTTCTTTCAAGGAGAGCTGCTGAGGCGGTCCTCCACAGGATTAAGCACCTTGGGTTGTTGATGGCCCATTGGGTGACACAGGCAATTATGAACCGTGTAGAGCGCAGATATGAGTTGAACTGCTAGCATTAACTGGAAGCCCTAACTTTCGACACAAAGTCAGGTTCCTAGATTTGGCCACAGCCTGGGACTGCCCCCATCACCCAGGCTGGTCCCAAGTGAGTTGCCCCAGAGAGGAGCCTCTGTTTCACGGAAGACAGACAGATGGTGTGATGGTTAATCTTGAGTGTCAACCTCACCACATTGCCAGCTGCCCAGAGAAGTGGTGAGTACATTTCAGTGCGCATCTGTGAGGTGTTTCCAGAGTAGCTTGGCATCTGGGTCATGAGCTGAGTTGGGCAAAGCCTGCCCTGAATACGCCCAACACCACCAGGCACTGGGTACAACCAGGAAGTGGGCAGAAGGGAAACTCGCTCTCACTCTCGCTTCCTGCGAGGGGGTGTGTTCTGCTGCCCTCACTCCTGGGCACCGGGCGCCAGCTTCTTCAGCCTTTGAATGTGGACATGCAGTCACCTCGTCTTCAGCCTCAAATTTGCCTCATTTGAAGGCTTCTGGTTTCTTGGATGGAGCAACTGCCGCTTTTGCAGCTCTCTGGCCTGCCAGTGGCTATTGTGGGACCATTTGGCCTGAACAGAAGCAGCCTCTGATCACGGCAGACGCTATGGCTTCTGTTTCCCTGGGGAGCCCCGGCTAGCTCTGAGTGCAGCTCCCAGGGCAGGCCCCCCTCAGTCCCTTCCCCACACCTACCTTCCAAGAGGTACTCCAGGTACTGAGATTCCACCCAGGGGGAGCTGGCACTGGCGGAGGCTGCCCTCACCCGGGCCTTGAACTTGTTGTACAGGTCCTGCTTCTCCAGGCACATCAGGGAGCACAGCAGCGCTGAGGTGCCCCAGCACTTGTGCACTCTGCGCCACCGTCTCAGGGTGAGAATGCTGGGTGGGGAGAGAGAAGAGCACAGGCTGTGGTCTTGGCCTCTCTGATGGGGAAACTTCGTGACCACGTGACCATTCATCCCTCCATCCAGCCCCAGTACCTGCTCACCCAGCCACCCAGCCAGCCACTACCCATCCAGGCAGCCTTCCATCCATTTGGCAGGGACAGAACAACCAGGCAGATGTGGATGGAAGCCTGGCTCTGCCTCTGAGCCTGGTCTCCTCATCTGGGATGTCGCCCTTATGGCGCGGTTATGGGGTCCACTCTTGTGAGCATTTTCTTCACAGAGCCATGCACAGGCCACCTGCTATGTAGGTGTCAGATGGGAGCATGCAGGTCCACACACCAATCTCTTGGGGACACTGGGGTCAAGGGAGAGACCTACTCAGTGGACACAGTTCTAAGAACTAGGGAAGAGATCCTGCCCTCCAACAGGAAGGAGACAAAGACAAGAGTCACACCAACAGGCTGGTCTGTACAGTGGTAGGAGCATAATGTGGGAGTGACTGCTTTCAAGCACATCTCAGACAAAGCTAGGAAGATGGTATAAAGTGGAGACCTCACTGAGGAGAAGGGGAGGGCCAGGTGAGGGCGTGGGGGGAGGAAGAAGAGGAACAAAAGGCCTCCAAGGGAAGAGCTTGACCTGGCCGTCAAAACAAAAGGCAAGATGGCAGGAGGCCAGAGGGCAAGGGAGGGTGGTGGTGGGTGGAGGGTAGGTCAGGTAGAGCCTTGGAAGTGTGAGTAGAGTTGGGATTTATGATGAGTGTGAACAGAAGACACTGGAAGGTTGGAACAGGATGGGCTGCTATGATTAGATACACATGTGCCTCCAGAATTTAATGCTGGACTTGAACTGTAAGGTGGTGGTATTAAGAGAGGGGCTTTCTGGGAAATAATTAAGCCATGTGGACTCTGCCCTCATAAGTGTGACTGACACCCTCATAAAAGAGGCTTCAGAGAGTTGCCTGAGCCTCCCCTCTTTTCAGCTACATGAGGACACAGCTTCGACCCTTCTCCACGTGAGGACGCAGCCAGCAGGTGCCATCTTGGAATCGGGGAGAAGTCCTCACCTGTGCTACCATCTCAGTCTTGGGCTTCCCAGCCTCCAACCCTGAGAAGTAAAATGCTACTGTTTCTAAATCACCCAGTCTGAGGTATTTTGTTAAAGCAGTACAGACAGATGCAGATAGGGACTGAAGTGCTCTTAGAGTTTTAAAAGATCTTTCTGGCAAACCAGCTAGGAGGCTGCTGTGGGGACCCAAGAGAAGGTGGTTGAAACTAACTGTGAGAAAGGGTAATATTTTGGAAGTAAAAGCAATAAAACTCACTTTATTTGGTTTGGTTGAGTGTGGGCTGTGAGATGAAGGAGACTCAAGGATATCCCTCAATTTGGGGGGCAGAGGATTAGGTGACTAGAGCAGACTAAGATGGGTTTGATACAGAGAACAGACTCTTGGGAAGAACCGAGTACTGTTTTCTTTCTTTCTTT